CCTGTTTGGGACCCCATAGAGAAGGGGGAGGCCGAACCCACCGTCCTGCAGGTGGCCCTGAGGGAGCCCGAGGAGGAGAAGCCCTCCCTGCCCCGAGCAGTAGCTTCCCCGGGACACCGAGGGCAGGTCCTGAGCCCCCGGCCCCTCAGCGGCCCCTCCGGTCCCGGCGGCCGGGAGCTCCTGGCTCCAGACTCTGCCAGCCCGACCCACAGGGTGCCGGGGGAAGCCTCAGTTCTTAAAAAACCTTTTAAAGGTGTCTCAAACGTACTCAAAACAAAGCCACCTGTGCTACTAGTGCCTGTAGGGTTTACCCGAGGAATTTTTATTTAACTCGGTTTTGTTAAAAGAAGTGCAAGCAGAGGGCATGTGATGTGAAATAATAATAATAAACTGCAATACTCTTTATTTCTCTATTTCAGTATTTTCAGGAATTATGGTCTAGAGTCCATTGTTTCTCTCTAATTACACTCTTTGTTTTTTCCAACTAGTGATACTTTATGGGATCTTGCTATAGCTGAGGTGGAGAAGAGAGAAGACCCTGATGAGGACAGCAAGCATGTGGAAGCTTGGGAAAAATCAATATTATTTATGGGAAACAAAAATGGGGTAATGCTAAATACTGTATGATTCTGTGCTTTCTGTGAACACAGCTTGTGTCAGGAAAATATCTGATAAGTATGTGGCCCACTTAATTCTTCTAAAGACAAAATACTTCATGTTCTGATTCTGCACAGCACACATTCCACAGAGTGTGGACCAACTGGTTATTATTACAACTCAGAAGTTCAAGTTTATGTTTAGAGAGTCAAAATCAATAATGTGCTAATTCTTTGAGGTTTGGCTTCATTATTTTTTTAAAGTAATTGCTAGAACTAATGCTACCCTCTTTAGTTGTTTGACATGTCAAATTTCCCCTTGTAGAGGTTTAACTGGTAACAATCCAATTTAAGGGCATTGATACCAGTTTTGTTGCAAATTAAGGGTTTTGGCATCCTGCTATGAATTGTGTCTGCATCTATGCAGATAGATTTTAACGTGTTATCAGTGATGGCCAGCTCATGATTCTACATGTCTGAGGTTGTTTTACCTCATTGTCCCGTAAGGTGGGTCATTAGTAATTTCATATTTTTCTTCTGTCAATATTTATTGGAAAAGTAAATAAGGAAACATTTGCCTTTTTGACCAAGTAGGTAATATTTTTAAAAATACAATTTTTATTTGGGAAGATTGGTATATGTACAACCTCTGATCAGCAGTTTTTAAAATACTTTTTTCAGAGAAAATACAATGACTTTACCAGATTTCAGATTTACCTGAAATTCAATTATTTTTGAGATAGGAAAGGACATGGGACTAAACTGTAGAAGTGCTAGCCCCTTCAGCATGGCATGGTATTCAGTATCTGAATTTCAACAGCATAAAGACGTATTTTTCTGGCTGTTTATTTGTATCTTAGGCATTCTTTTTATTTCTGTCTCATCAGTAAAAATTTAATTCTAGTGAAAACCAAACAGTAAATAACAGTGTTATTAATAATTAAAAACTGTTAAACAGTTTAAGAGAGTTGGCTAGGTTGATCACTAGTGTCTAATTTTAAGCACACTATTCCTGTTACTGTATTTGTCATCTCTATTAGTTTATAATTATACTAATGGTAGTGTAACTTGATTCTGACAGAAAGTTGGCAGTTAAGTTTCCACTATAAGGCTACAAACAATTACATGAGTTTACATTTTTCTGGTACTTTATTATTGGAATTTTAAGTGTGTGAGTTTCATTTAGCAATACAACTTATTTTGCTTTAATGACAGTACAGTAGTGTTCTTTTGTTTGAATTTCCAGGGAAAGACCACTATTATACTGAGGTGTCTTGAGAGGTACGTGTTAAATTTTTTAAAGTATTTTTCAACTGTGGATTAGAATTGTATGTGAACAGTTACATTTTCTGATAGTTCCTAATGTATGTATATAGATGTCTCCTGTGAGCCATTGATCACTTACAGATAAACTGATTTCCCTTCATTACTGTCTGTTGTCTGACCCCTTCAGTCCTTCTCCAGTATTAGAGAGCTTTAATGGCTATTCAGATTGGTGCTGCTACTTCCCTTTTCAGCAACTGAGGCCCATTGTCTTAAAGTGTCCTCTCTGTATTGCTGCTTCTAAGCCAAATTCTGAACTGACTGATAATTTACTAAAAGTAAAATTAACTTTCTTTACTTAGAGAATCCTGACAAAATGAAGTAATTTTTCCTTGCATAGGGAAGAAATCCCAAAGCCAACATTAGCCTTGGAATACACTTTTGGAAGAAGGGCAAGGAGACACAATACAGTGAGTATCTCAAAAGTATAGTTTGCTATATCTTTAGGTGTATATAGATACATATACACACACATATACATAAAAATAAAACACATTATTTTTATAAGAACCATAGGGTTTTTAGCTTATTGTTTGTGAAACAAAAAGGGTTTTTTGAATATCATTTTATTCAAATTAACTAGCATAATTCTGTATTTTAATCTGTAATATGTTTTTCCTTCTCACTAAAATGCAGTAGATAAGAGACCAAAGTATAACACAAAGCAATCAGATTCATTTATAAAAACTACTTTGTGTGTCATGCTTGAGTAACATAGGATGCATGCTTTTAACTTTCTCTTTAAAATGCAAAATGGGTACAAACCAATGAAGATACTTTACAACCATTTTTATGAGAGAAACAGTCATTTTAGAGGATGTTAAATAATAATTACATTTTGGGGGTTTGTGTCCATGTAGCTATATTTTGCACTGGAGATTATGTTAGCAGAAACATTGAACCTATTCCCACTCACAGTACAACACTGCCCAGCAGCAGTAACAATTACTGCAGGTAATTGCTGTTTCTGTTACTGAAGCAGGGAGTGGAAAACCTGACTCTGTCAGAAAGATAAAAATCACTTAAAGCTTTTCCCAGAAACTAAATGCAAAGGTAGAGATTCATTACTTTTCCTGTTGCAAACTTCTCAAAAAGCGTTAGTCTTGAGCTGCAATAAAAAAATCAGGTTCTCTTCCCCTTCTTTTTGTTTATGTTTTTCATTAATCGTGCTGCTTCCTGAATTTTTTATTTTGCCACAGTCATTTATCAAGACAGTCATAGGTATGCCAAGAGTTTTTCGTAAGTGTTGTAAGGGATTTCTTGAAGCTGGGCTTTTTTTTGTTTGGTTTTGCTTTTTAGAAAATCCTAGTAATAAAATATATGCTCTTGTTCTGAGTCACTTGCATGAAAAGTCAGTTCATCAGATGAAGATCTTCACTTGGTGTTGCATGGAAGCACACATTTCTAACATAAAAAAACCTCTTCTACAGCCTAAAGATATAGCTCATTTTTGGGAACTGGGTGGTGGAACCTCATTACTGGAACTGATTCGAATACCAATCACTAGTAACAACATAACGTAAGTGATGAATATTACAATTCCAAAGTTAATTTCAGCTTTCCTTCAAACATAACTAAATCTCTAGACCTTTCATTGTGGAAAACTCTTTCAAAATGTAAGATAGAACTTTTATGAATTTTTCTAAAATTCATGGTAATACCACTGATACTCTGACCTTTCTTAGGATGGTTTTCTCCTAATAAGCCGCGTTCTTAGCAATCTCCAACAACAAGAGAAAGTAATAACATGAAGGAAATGGGTTGGTCTTAAGTAATAGAACAAGAGATACAGAAAAAGATAAGACATAGAGTCTTGATGCTCAGTGAAACAGCAGAAAAAGCAACTTTGGGGCATACAAAAAATGAAATCTGGATTCCTACTTCAGTATGCAAACATAGATGCTATCTCTGTGAGGGGCAGTATTTTAGGGTGAAAAAGAAGGCAAAAAACTGTGGAAAAAAAACTTTTTAGGAAGTGAAGTGACAATCTGATAAGGATATCATACAAATGAGATGATGTTTCTGAGAGGGACTAAAACTATTGAAATTATTTGAAGACAAAAGGAAACAAGAATTTAGAGAGAATTAGGAGAATGTAGTGAGAAAAATCCATAAAAGTGATGAAATAGCATAGGAAGAAAAAATTGATGAAGAATAGTTGCATGAAGGTCATGGGGGCATGTTTTATGTTGAGTTTTTTTTTTTGGTTAGGGAAGATGGAGTTAAAAGTGGAAGGGGAGAAAAGGATCAAAAGATACATTTTGTATTATGATGCATTGCTTTATTTCTTTGGTAGTGAGTTTTAACTTCGGTGGGAAAAAAAAAGAAGCAAGGAAGGTTACCATTTTTATCATGTACCTCTGGCTATTGAGATAATACCATTATTTAGTGAGAGGCTAATGCAGAAGGAATAAAAAAAAAAAACACAACACTTCTGGCATATGACACTTTGTGTTTCTGGGAGTGCTTGGGGAAAAAAATCAACTATCATTTTTCAACTGCTGTCTAAATGAACTTAACTAAGCTCCCCCTCCATGAGTCTTTTCTTCCCTTTTTACTGGGAATGAATCTTCTGATGCAGATGAACTTAAGATTCTTTGTGGGATAGCAACACTGATCTGTAAGACCACTTGTGTTCATAAAACAATATTTTAACATAATTGTACCATTTCAATTTAAGTGCTTTTTCCTGGTTTTCTCATCTATCTGTAGCCAAGCAGTTTGCTTATTTAAAAGTTCCATGAGCTATATCTAATTTCACCAAGAGACTTTTCACCAGATTTCCCTTGCCCAGCATTTTAAAGTGAAATTGGACATCTGCTTTGCTGTGTAGTCTTTCTAACGCCACTCTGGTCTGGAATCCCCCTTTTCAAGTCAGGATGGAATGTGAAAGAATGATTGCATCCATTCAAATGGCTGCATTTGCAATGTTCTTTACAGTTGCACTTTAATGTAGTTAGAGTTTTGGGAGGAGAGGAGTTTATATATAAAACATTTGTCATCATAATCCACCTTTAAAAGCCTGGTAGTTGCTAAGTATGTCTTGAGTACTCTGACTTCTGTTTGTCGTGCAGAAGACTTTCGTATTTGAAGTTTCAGCTAATGAGCACAGTCCATTGCACAGAATCTTGCCCTTAAAAATTTTTTTCCATTTCCTATTACAAAAGAATAACGAAAGTATAGAACTTAATACATAATGGTTAGGAAAGATCCTAACCATTTGCTAACATTGCTTCATCTGGGATTGTGGAATTATGGGATGGCAGGGATACCTGATAGTCTTAAGTGCCCAGACACACAGGAAGGAGCTAAGTGGGCTCAGGATATTTGCATATTTTGTTCATTTGAAACAAAGTTTCCAGAAACAGAATTTGATGTATAAAATCCCTCAAAACCTCTGATGGAATGTTGCCAAAGTAATAGTTCTGAAGAAGAGACCGTGGAAGGGTTTCTTCAGGGCTGAGTATCCTTAAAAAACATCTCCCTTTGCTGTCACCTTTAATTCTATCTTAGCATTTTTATTTTCATGTTTGTTGCTTTCACCATTTGTACTACTGGCATGGTTGTACATAAAAATGTTAATTGTCTTATGAGCTAAATATTTGACCAAATAATGCCTTTTTAATAGATCATTTGCTGTAGTTCTTGTATTGGATTTGTCCAAACCTAATGAACTCTGGACTACTATGGAGAAACTTCTGCAGGTCACCAGGAACCACGTGAACAAAATTTTAACCAAACTGCAAAAGACAAGTCCTGAAGTAGCTACTGAAATTAAACAGAGGATGTGGAACAATCTGCACAGGGATCATCCAGTAAGTTACTTCTAATATTTTCTCCAGATGTCACAGGCCTTTATACAGTTAAAGATAATGCTTTTGAAAATCATAAACAACTCTTCTAGATTTTTATGCATGACTGAAAATCCCTTTGATGTAGATGAACCTGTTCACTAGAAAATTATAGCAATTTAATAAAAATTCAATAAGAGCAGAAACAAGGAAAGAAGGTTTCTTATATCTTTTTGTTAGATATCTAATGTGATTGTTATGGCATGTTACACCAATCAAAAGAAATGGTTTTAGAGTAGTAGTTTGCTTTTTTCCCCCCTCATCTTTTTAAAATGAAGATGAAAACTAGAATGTACAAAAGTCATCTAGCAAGAGACTAGCTGAAGGTACAAATTTAAGCAAAGAATATAGTTATAACAGCCATCAACATGACTATATACTTTGCATTTATTTAAATGTCTATCACAAACTCAATGCCTTTTGATAATCTGACAACTAATTAAATTATAAAGTTTCAGAAATGTTAACATCAGTCCTTTAAACATAATTGCTAACTAAATCTCTGGAAAAGCTAAACTAGATTATGCGTAATAGAAATGAAAAGTCATTGTGCATTAAACCTCTGCAAATGTTGTGTGCATATAATGCATAAATAAGTATTCAACAATTCAAAGACCTGGCACGTAAGTCTAGTTACTCTAACTTTTATAAAATGCTGCAATACGGTCAATGCTTATATAGCTCAAAAATGGAAAAGTAACTTAAATTTTTTGAGAAAGCAACATATGCAACACTCAGCAGATGTAGAGTATGGGGTTTGAGATCTGCTGGCTTATGATTGCAGCTTTTACTTTTAGAAAAGGTAATTCACAAAAAGTAAATGCCTACAAGCACACTTGGCAACAAATCATGACCACAGTGTCAAGTTTACAGGTAGGGGCTTACATATCATAAAACCGCAACCTTTCTTCAATAAGTAAAAAGAGCAACACCATTAATTGTTAATAGGAGAAGACCTGTTATACTTGCACTGTAGGGAACACAATTATACCTTTTAAACTAGAATTTCTATTCAGCCTTCATTATCAAAGCCAGAAAGGATGCAAACAAAATGTTATGTTACTCCTGGGCTCTCTTTAAACTTTCATCATTTTTCAAGAAAAAACTGTCAATTTTGTGGAAGGAAATACTGTCTTTTATAGTCCACAAATTAAATGACAGTTTACAGAGATTATTTGCCTTTATAGCTTACCATATTTTTATGTTAAACAGGAATTGATGAGGTTCTTAGAGGGTTTTTTTTAAGGATTAGATATATTCCACTAACCTGGATAAAAGATATTGGCTATGATGGTAAAGCATAAATATATCAAGTGCAGACCTTGTTTAAAAAGGCTGAATGCACCTAAAGTAGTCCATAGTCAAAAGTTGAATCCATGGTAAAAAGATGAACAGGGTTCAGTATGCCAGTTTTAATGTTTCTGATGTTATCCCAAATTAAGTTTTTTCTTAGTTAAGAAACTAGCACTAATATACTGTCATTTAACCTGTATGTGAAATAATTGGCTTTAGAAGGGAACACTGAGGTCAACATCTGCTACAACACATCTCTTTTCCACTCTGCTGGAACAAAAGCAGCTTGACTAAATCACTGCATGAACACTGGAAGGGATAGTCTCATCCCATGTAGACTACAGGAAAACCTTCCAGATAATGTGAGAATTATTGTAATCTACTTATTAAAACCTTTATCAGAGGTTAAAGAGTTAACAGTTAAATCTTCCACATGCCCAGAGCTATTTTCTTCCATTGGTACTGGTTTGCACTTACATGATTGTTAGGTGACATTTTCCTCTTTCTGCACATATCAAACATTTGAAAATCACATTAAATATTTTTTAAAGGGTTTGGAAAACATGGTGTGGGGAGGGCAGATGTGTGACACAAGCAAATAATTCACTTTAATTTTCTTGAGCTTTTGACTGTATTACTTTGGGTATGACACAAGGAGGGGGAATATGTCACAGCGCCAATTCTACTAATAAACTGGCAGTTGTTCTGTGAATTAATGGGGGTTTTCCCCCTTTCCCTTCCCATCTAATGTTGGAGCTGGAGTATGTAGTGCAAGAACCCTTTTTTGTCAATAAGTGTTCTGACTACTCAGAGGCATTATTTCCTGACCGTTTATGAAGAAAATGAGAAAATTGTAGAATATGGATATTGCATTAAAGTTTATTCATCCAAATTAAGGTTTTGAAAAAATAGACCTTGTCTTCTGTGAATTAATTTTGCCTCCTTTCAGTTGTTTTAACTGTTGCAATCTTCTACAATTTGTTTACACTGCTTAACTGTCAAATATCTGTTTAATAGGATTATGAGTTAGTTGACCCTTTTCCAATACCCTTGGTGATAATTGGAAGCAAATATGATATTTTTAATGTAAGTAATTATATTTTTTTAATAATGAAAAGATTCTTTGTAATGTAACAGTAATAGTTTGAACAAAAGTATGGCCGGTTAGCCTTCCACCACAAAAAAAAAAGTCTTTCCATCCAATGGCATACTGTCATTCTTTCACAGAATGCTCCCAAGCTGATGATATTTGAAATACACTTGGAAAGTCTTGACATAGAAGTTGCTGCAGACCAATAAGGGACACAAGAAAACATCATATTGATTACTTTCTTTTATAATGAGAGAAATCCAGTCCCATGTTTCCTTCCCTACTGACAGCAGCTGTAACTGTATGGCGTCTCATGTCAGCTGGTCAGATTTTTGATAGTTGTGGCAACATGAACAGTAAGCTATCTTTTCAATCTGGAACTTTTTGAAAGTACCCATTAAGTTTTTAAAGACAAGTGTGCAGTTGCATCTTTCAGGGAGGAGAGGAAAGAAATGTCATAGTACTGCTGGATTCTTTCCTGGGATGTTAAAAATCTAAACAAACGAATACTCAATTTTCAAGCAGCACTTGATAATGAGAAACTAGAACAGAATGTTTGATTTTTAGCTGCCGTGCTGGCAGCCTGTGCTTCTCTGGATGACTACATAGTGATACATTGATACTTGGCTGACTCTGTGAGTTATTAAATTCTTTATTAATAAGGTACTGTGCCTTCTTTCATACAGAGGCTTTCCGCTGAGCCATGTCCTCTTTAAAAATCAGTGACTGATGTAATAAGCACAGAATAATGGTCTAATTCCATTGGGGTCTATGGACAGACTCCTGCAGGCTTCACTGGGACCAGGTTTTTGCCCACTTTATCCAGGGAAGGCCATCTGTATCATCTTATATTAAAGAAACCTTGATGAAAAGGTATTTTTATGCATCTTTCACATACTGCAGTTATTAGGATTTAGAAAACATATACCCAAAAGTTTACTGAAAGTTAAATATTTTCACAAAAAGCAAAAAAAAATCCTTCTTCTTTTAGTAAGCAGTATTTCCACTTCTAAAATATTAAAACAAAATGAAACAAATTAGTTGAAAATTGAATACACATTCCCAATTAAGAAGCTTTTTCTGGACTAAGATATTGCCTGAATTAGGCTCTCTCTGTAAAAGAGAAACAAAGGGAAATTGTGACATTTCTTTTCGGAGTAGGCTGTTACTGATTCTGTCTTAAGATATAATTATGCTGACAGCTGAAAGCCTCATATATTGTAGCCTAAGTGCATTGCAATTTATACAAAAAATGAAAAGTTCCAGCTTTACTATTTTGTTTTTTGTTTCTTATGTATATGTTCTGATATCAACTTTTTCAGGAGTTTGACTCTGAAATGAGGAAAATAATAAGCAAGACACTTCGATTTGTTTCACATTATTATGGAGCATCATTAGTGGTGTGTATATTCACTTTCTAACTAAGGATAGAGAAGATGAGCAATATTAGGGTTACAAAACAATATTTTTAAAAATAGAAATGTAAAACTCCTAGAGATAATGGAATTTAATTGGTTTTACAGGAGCTTTCTTCATGAGCTAATCTGACAAACAAACAGATTACAGGTATTGGCAGGGGATGGATCAATATATCTTGTGAACAAACTACATAATTCCTAATATCAGCAAAAACTAGTTATCTGTTAGCAAACTCAGTTCCCCTATTGAGTTTACTGCAAGTGTGGCAAAATTTTTTTGGTACAAGAAAGGAGGATGGGAAAAAGTGATCGCCCTTGATAGAATTAGAGAACTGGCCTTTTTGGTAGAAGCATGGATTTACGTCTAGTGACCTGGATTTAGTAGATTAAAAAAACTTAGATCCAAGGGCTTGTCTTCACAGCAGTTTAAGCATACCAGATGACCACACTTACGGTGTAGAAAAATAAAAGCAGGGATTTTTTTTTTTACAGCAATGAGTAGGAACTGCCAACAATAAGGACAATGAAGTATTTATGTGGGTATATAGATTGATTTTGAGTTCGGCAAATCATCTCCTGAGTAAAGGCAGAAACATGCATGCTCAGGTTCACAATCCAAAAAAGCTGCCTCTTGGGCTCTTTCTACGTCAGAAGATGGTTTTATTTGCATCAACCATCATTTATGTAATAAATAATATTTACTAGTGGCTTATTTTTATTACCAAACTACTTATGCCTGCTTTAAATTGCTATAATCACAGCATGTCCTTTTGCATCCATGTAAAATTGTACAGCTTTTGTACTTTGACATGTGAATTCATCTTTTGTTAACTGAGGATACAACTGTCTTGATTTAAATTTTTTTAAAAAGTATTTAAGCATCATTTTAATTAAAAGTGAAAACCTAGGAGCCTAAAACTCTGGCTGCTAAATCCTGATTCCAATTGAAATGGGTGGGAGAAATTTCATTTCCCACAGTAGGGATCTGACTCCTTTTTCAAAGACATGAATGTTAGGATAAAAAAAGCCCTTAGACATGAATAAGTATGCTGTTTGAGAAGATATTCTGGGAGCTGCTTTTTGATAAATCTGTACCAGTTCTGCCACTATCAAGCTGCTTTTTATGATGTGTAAACAATTTTATAGTTATGCATTACATTTCTAAATGTTTATGGTATTCTGGATATTTTTTAAATAGTTTAAAATCTTTATAACTCATTAGTCTTGGGCAAAAGATCTGTATCTCTTACTGTGCATATTTAAAAAGTTGTGAATCAATATTTTAACATTTAGTCTTTATGCTATTTTTCATTTAATCTTTCTTGATCTATATATTCAGTGACAAATACATTCATTTATTAGAAAGGGAGGGTGATATTTTTATTCTAGTAAATTCAGTAGACATATACCAAATCTGTTGAGATCTGGAATTAGCCAGGGTCCATCAGAAATCCTCTATGCAGATGACATAATGTAATATTTCTGTGATGGAAGATTATAATGTATATTTTGTCTTCTGATTAATTTAGTTTACCAGTAAATCTGAGGCTCTCCTGCTGAAAGCCCGTGTTCTTATTAATCACTTGGCATTTGGATATGACAAAAGGTAACATAATTATTGTCAAACTAGTAAATGTCTTGCTCAGAGTCTAAAAGTACTTAATGCAAAATATTTTAATCACCAAAACATTTTTTTTCTTAAATATGATCTCTGAAAAATTCTTGTTCATGGACTTTTACTCCTGTGTCTCAGCTGCCAATCTCTGCACACGACAGAGATAACTCCTTGGTTTTAATCCCCAAACTAATGGATTAGAAACATGATCACTGCCAGAATTGAACAGATTTTTATTTACATGTATTTTTATGCAAAGCCCAGTAAGAGTCTAGGCTTGGCTAGAATAATGTCATTTTTCATTGATTGCTAAATGCTCACTTGATATGTTTTCTTTTTTCTGTTTAGTAAGTCTGTATCAGTGGATCACAGCAAACCTCTGTTTATACCAGCAGGCCTGGATTCGCTGAGCCAAATAGGTTAGGACATTTCCCGTTAATTTGTTTGTTGCTTAATTGTTTTTGAAAATGAGAAAAAAAATTTAGGCAAATAAAAAATAAAGTTAAATTATAGCACATCAGCATCTGTTTTAACAGATTATTGAAGGAAATGGCTTAGAAAGCTTAAAATTAAATTCATTATTTATATTATTGAGAATTACTTGTGCAGTTTTGTTAGCTAGTTTAATAAATTATTTGCACAACTTCAAATAGTAAAGTACCAACAAGCTTAGATCTAAAAGAAAATATAATATACAATACCACACAGCCCATTTTATGGTAGATCAATTTTTTTTCAAACTTGTTGCTGCTTGTCACTGTAGAAGATAAAATATTAAATTAGATGGATCACTATCCAAAATGCTTTGATAATTTATGTTGCTATGACAACATACTTGTATGACTTTGCGCTGTGCTGTAACCTGTAGGACCACCACCTGCCTCTGACAGTGATATTGGAAAGATGCGTGCAAACACACCGTTGGAACTGTGGAAAAAAGTATTTGAGAAAACATTTCCTCCCAAGGTGGGTACATGTCTTCTGCACAGCTTTTTTTTCTCATAGAATAGTAGTAATATCACTACTAAATTTTGTCTTTCAAGTCCAGTCACTGGAATTTCCATCTCACTTAGCAGTTCTGTTTCTTCCGACCTCTTTAATTCATACATTTTTAAAAGATACAGATTTGTATGTAGTGGTGCTTTGATTATTAGCTTCTGTATCTTCAGTCATTTTCCTGTATTTAGTAGTAACAAAAGTACTGATGTAACCCTCTGTTTTTTCCAAAGTTCTACCATTGCCTTTTATTACATTGAGAGACAAGCTATATTCAACGCTTTAGGTATTTTATAAGGTGATGTATTCCCTAATGCCTAAACCAAGTGACAGTGATGTTCCAAGATGAGATCTCTTCCTGGCTGTAGCAAGCTACTGATCTTTGTTCTCCTAGGGCATGAGGTTTTGAGTTAAGCCAGTGGATTGAGTTCCTTGCCAAAATCTGTCATTTTGCTATAGAAGTGGTTGGATTTGCAAGATAATTAGAAGCCCTTGACACCTATATAGTGATCAGTCTTGTACATATTTCAAAAATATCTGGTCCCAAGAGGCAAACCCCCAAATACTTCTTTTTAATAAAAGTAATTGTTGTTGGAAATCCCAAGTCTTTTCTATTTGATCTGAGCAAATACAGGCTGCTGCTTTTTCTTTGTGTACTTGACTCTCAGTCCATTTCCTGCCCTACAGCTTACCTGGACAGGCAAGGAAGTCAGTCAGGGCTATGAAACTGTGCCTCGAATTATGGTGCACAAACTCAGCTTTTTCTAGTTTTCTGTCTATGGCTCTCCATTCTTGGCGAGGAGGAGTCTGAATTCACCCTTTCCCACTCACTTGATTGCTACATATCAAAGCCTACAAATTATTTCAGGTGGTTTGTGACCAGAAGAATTATCACTAAGATGCTGTTCTCATTACAGTATGCCCCAATATGATAAAGACTAAACTTTACTTTAAAAAAACTATACAGGACTGTTATTTTTCATATAACTTTTGCTCATAGCCTTTTAAAACACAATGAACGAACCTTCCCCAGCTGCCTGTGCCATAACTCCTGAACTCCCCGTGAAGCAGCTGGAGAAATGAATACATTTCTCATCTTGCAAGCTCCATCAGTGTTCTAAGGTATCAGTTTAATTAAAAAAGATTTGCCAAGTTGATTCCCAGTTTTCTGTTTGGTTCCAAAATAAGCTTTAAACTTTAAAGCCATTTTTATGCATTGCAAATTTATTTTTTGAACTAATTATCTAATAATAATTATAATTCTGCTTTATTTTATTACATCAATTGTATGATTGTCTTATTGCTACTTTACATTTGTTATGAGTAAGGAGAAATCTGCGGACAGCATTTAAAAAAAATTCCTATAGCGTTTCTTTCTTTTAGTGTATTTATATCTTGGGAACTAAACTTAAACTCAGATATTGAAGTAACGCTTCTGGTAACCAGAACTGAATTCTAGTCTTGAGTATTAAATGCTCTAGCAAGAGCAACCTTAACACGAATGTCATGGGCCAGACATGATATTTTCATTTTGAGGAGAGAATAATAAACTACCAAATAAGAATATTTTATTTCCTTTAAGATCTAACTGCACTATTACCTTCTCATCATTTTACCAATCTAAGATAATATATAGGATATTTTTATGTAATCTGTGTCCTGTAGCATAAAATTCTTCCATAAATGCAGGATTTTAATACATTTGTATTAAAAGCAAAATACTTCCACTAGGTCTACAGAGTGGCATTCTCACGTTAAAAGAACAGAAGATAAATTTTATCACTTGGGTTTTTATCATTTCTTCTTTTAGAGTTTCTGCGATTTACAAGATGCCAAGGACCCTGCACAGGATTCACGATATGCTGAGTATGAAGTTGATGTCATGAGAGCTCAGAAAAACCAGGTGTGTGGTTGTTCTCCAGTTGCTGTTCACAGTCAGGTATTCCAGAACCATCAGCATTGCTGAATTAATTGTAGAATATACTCATTGCCCCCTTTTTGACTTTAAATAACTTCAACTTTAGTTTTCAACTTAGTAGTTTGGGTTGGTTTGTTGTTGTTTTTTTTTTTTCCCCCCCATTGGTTGACATTAAGCAGGTAGAGCAGTGTTACATCTCCAAGTTTTGGCGCTCCGTTTTCTTTAGAAATAAATAATTCAAATTTTCCCCCAGCTCTCTTCCAGAATTATTTCACTAAAACAATATTGAAGCAAAGCTGTGCAGCTTTCTTGGCAGTGATTTCTTTATTTCTGCACCCTGTACTCTTATTTGGGTGTTGACTAGCAGGAAGTCTAGGAAGCAGTGTCAAGGTTTGGGGTGGGGACTGTTTACTTGGGTTTTTTTGTCTGCCTCCTTCAAAAATTTTATTTAAACTGGAAAGGGGACTGAGATTATAACATTTCTGACTTGATTTTGCAGGCTGTGTACATTTTATCTTAAGCAGAGCGAACATAATTATTCCACACAGTGATATTTGGCTTAACCCCTGAATTCCAGGAAAGGCATTTAGTGGGGAAAGGGTCTTTTGTTTTTTCTTATTAATATAGTCTTCATCCATATCATAGGTATGGGTCTGTTAAAAGCAATCCAAGATTTGTGTATTTTTCTTTGTTTGGAATAAGTATCACAGACTTACTCTGGAAACTCTATTTCATATACATTCCTGTGTGTTTCACACACAGAAAATACTTTGCTAGAATGACTGAGAAACATTCCATTCTATTCTCACACCTTAAATGTGGGCTATTCGCACACCATTTAACTTCTTTGTGGACCAAGCTACCGTGGTTAAAGGAGGTTTTTCTAACAGCCATTTAAGATGATGGAATGTACCAATCTAGACCTCTCATGCTTTTACAGACCCACACGCTTAAGATGAAAGCCAGTTTTATTGAATTGCACTGCAGTTAATCTCAACTAACCCTAAAATACCATGGCAAATTTCATCTTTTTGCATGCTTGTAAAATAAAGCCAAAGGATTAGACTATTACTGCTATCACATTTTTGTAGAGTTTAGTTAGATTGCATAAGGCGGTAAACCTGTAGTTACCTGATCCAAAGAAATATATTAATAATGTAAAAGAATAAAGCAACTTCAAGAATCCCTTGCAGTCTTTGAACTTGCACATTACCTGTAATATCCTGTTAATGTAGGCATCAGTTCTCAATTTCTGATACATCAAGAGCAGTCTTAGAAATCATTAAAATTCGTAAAGCACATTGCTGTTGGAATTTATAACGTAATGTCATACTCAGTATATCTGTATATCTCAAAATAACTATATGGTGTACTAGGTTTGTTATTTTTAGATAACACATGTTTTGCAAAAGAAGATACTGGTTCATATTGATTGAATCATACAGGAAATTATTAATTTTCTGTTGTTAAACAAAAGAGACAGGCTTTTAGAATCTTAATCTGTTCAAGGGCATTGCAAACCAGTGTAGCTTCTTTTAGTTTGACTACTACAAGTAATTTGAGCATTAAAGAGAAAATTACTTTTGTTATCTGCAGCTATTTCCTAAACTTCTCTATCGTGAAGTTCAATTATTACAAGATTATTTGCACATTATTAAAATGTTTTGTACTCCAAGAATTTAATTCAATTTGAAATGCACCAAAAAAGCAATATACATCTAAAAGAAAAGAACTCCAGTTGCAGTGATTCTTGAAGTCTTTGGATTTCCCAGTTATATAAAAAGTGGCACAAGAATCCTATTTTTAAAGCAACATTGTAGATGTATCGTAAGTCTGACATTCTTTATAGAGTCTCATGATACCTATTGTGTAGGAGGAACTGTATATTAAGATTATTAATATGCAACATGTTGCTAATGAAATCATGGGACGTAATGCAAAATGAAAGTTTCATATGATGACAGTGTATATTTTAATATCATTTAAATACTTATCATTTTCCTTGGTTACTTTCAGTTAATTAATATGCCACTTTGGACTCTAGGTGACAACCAGTTTGCTTGTTTATCTCAAAGATAAGATTTAAAGGAAAAATAAACACAAAAACATAACAACAAAAACAAAATATAGCCCCTGTCACTGAGTCTGATAGGAGAACTAGCATATCTGACTCAGTCTTGATCAGGACTGCTTAATAATACTGTAAGACACTTATAGCTAACTGTGGCAATACAAAGTAATTAAACCAATTTCAACTTTGTAACTTGGTTGAAGGGTTTGCCTGCAGCTAGGGTTTGTACACTCTAGCAGAGTAAAAGGTTAAATTCTTGAGTATAAAATTAGAAAGCAGTTTTTTTTTAAAAAAAATTAAAAGTACAGAAAGTACCTGGCTCACTCGCATGTCCTAGCTGTCAGCTAGTATTTCTCTGATAGACTTTTTAGGTGTAGAAGTTCAGAGTCCAGCTCATCAGCACTCTGTCACAAGAGTGTTTTCTTTTAGACCAGATTTTTTTTGCCTCTAATATTTTCAGAGTGAACTGAGACCTACCACTCTATTCCTAGACCTGGAAGACTCTGATCTTTTCCTCACTGTGCCTTTGTTCAAGATAGTTGAGAAAGAGAGATGTCCTCTATGTCCTCTTAGAATTCTTTTCCTAGTTCTTACCCCACAGACATAAAATGTGCAGGTTTATATGAAATAGTGTTGTTGCAATTGTTAACTGCTTTTTCATTCTCTAGAGTTAAGCTCTGAGAGAGAGAATACAACACAGGGACCTTTCTGGAATTTACATTTTTAATGTATTTCTTAACTAGCAGATACTCTCTGGGAATGACTAGAATTTTGTGCTCTTTGCAGGGCTTTCAAGAGTCAAGAAAAACATTCATTTTGCATATGATTAGGCCTTAAACATGTACATATGTTATAAACATGCATACAGGCCATGTAAAACATAAACAAGGTGGCAAACTTGTCATCCATTTCTCTCCATTCTCTGCTAGCTCGTTGGCTTTTCATGCTTTAAGGTCACCTTAATTTCACTTTAGGTAAACGTGCAACTTGAATTAAGAGTGAGATATTTTTAAATTATATTGTTGATTAGAGCTGCACATAAACCACCTGCATCTGTGAGCACCTAGGAGTGCATGAGCATCTTCTTCCTTAGTTCTATCTAAATGGTTGTGGCAGTGAGATGGCACATGGGGCTGGCTGGCTGCTGTTTCCTTTAGAAATGCTCTCTCCCACAGAGGTAAATACCCTAAGCTGTCTTTTTGAAGGTTTGTTTGTTTCAGGTCGTAGCTGTCCCATTATGCCCCTTGTACTGCTAATACTCAAAATAGGTGCTTGGACCTCTTTTTCTGGACACTTGACTGCAGGGTTCATTCATTAAAGCAAATGATAAAGCTAACCTTGAGCTCAAAGAAAGAATTGGATAACCTCCCGGTCAGGTACTCAAGAAGTCAGTGTCACCCAGTGCCAAAGTTCACACTGACTGGTCCTTGTTACACAAAGCTATTACTTTAGGGATTGGTGCCAGTTTTAGGTGAAGCCTAATGCCATAAAGTACATTCATAAAAAAAAGAAAAGGGTAGATGCCTGGTGCCATTTGGTGTCAGCTAACAAGAAGTAATGGAAGCAGATCTCAACATACAGGGCTGTAACTGTTAAGATGACTTTAACAAGTCTTAAACAGAAGAGGGGATTCTATAACATCTCACAAGCAAGTGTAGTCCTATTTCCCCTAAAGTAGGACTGACCTAATTAACCATGTCATTCACAACTAAAAGTCATCTCAGTGTGACAGTTGCAGAAGCCTGATTGAGATTGGGACTGTGTTGGCCAACAGAATGAGAGCTATATTTTTTCAGCATGCTTCTCTGACATGACCATATTGCTGAACATCAGGAGACAATTTCAGTCTCATTCAACAAAACAGAAGATTGCATATTATGTGATGAACCTTCTTGGTCAGACCAGTGTTACTGGGCAGAGAAGTATGACAGGAACCTTAGCATGGGTAACAGAGCAGTAGCATCTTTTGTTTTCTCCAGAGGAGGAGAAGTGCTAGTCTTCATATTGTGGAGAAGAAGTTATTTAGGATGTTTACTCAGCTCCCAAGAATAAGCTTTCTTGTTTTCACATGAAAGCATGTCCAAATAGGTACAAAAGATTTATTTTTTAAACCAACTTTATGAGCATTATTAGAGTACTGTTATTGAATTTTCTACTGAAGTTTGGTGCTTAAGATTTTTAATCCTTGTTTCAGTTCTTGGTTATTTTCACCACGTTCCAGACTGCGAGCACTTTCAGTAAGAAACTGCATGAAATAAGAAAGTTAAAGTCATGTCAGTTCCTCAGAACTGAGGAAATACAACAATTAAGGCTTTTCCTACAATCTTAATTTTTCCTCCTTGTTTGTAGACATTATAGTATTGTCTTTAATTACATGATCGTATACTATTTTGCTGATGTCTCAATTCAATTGTTCAGGACTTCTTTTCATCATCCTTATTCTTTGTGTACCTTATTTCTCAACCTGCCATTCAGACACTTCAATGAACACAAAAGTATTAATTTTTTTCCTCTGAGAATGTTTGGTAATGTTATCTTATCTGAGTGCCTCACAAACATCAGTTAAGTCTTTCTTCCCAATCCCTCTGTGAGATTAGATCTTCCCCATTTGACAGGTGAAGAATTCATAGAAACACAAAAGTACAGAAGCATTAAGGTTAAAAAAAATAAAAAAATCCACTTTATGCCAGTGTTGAGGCATCTAGGACAAGCTGCTAGCACTAATAAAGTTTAAAGCACTCAGAGCACATTGGAAGCATATTTAAACTGCAATTGTTAATTCTTTGTAAATCCAATCTGTGCCCCCTACACTTGATACCCAGAAAACAAAGGAAGCATAGTGCTAACGTGAACACTTTGGCATATTTGGGATACATTCTTTTGCAGGACCTTCTTTCAGTTTGGAGAGAGGATCTTGTAGCTGATTGTATAGTAACAGTATATTCCAGAATTCTGCCTATGTTTGTAGTATAGGACTTCATGAGCAGGAAGGTACCCTTTTTCAGAAGGGTCTCTGCAGTGATCTTTAAGCTGTATTGGAAAGATTTTCCCATTACATTTCTGGGATTTATTTTATTTTTTATTTTACATGAGAACTAAGGAAGTGTACTTTCCTGACAGCATTTTTCTTCCTGAATTACTGTATTTTTTAAATATTATTTTTTGTAAATATCCTACCATTTAATCCCTTCTTTCTTTCATTTCTCATTGTTTAAATGTTAATCTTACCTAGATATGTCTCCCAAATAAGTATTTATCATTTTGTTCTGTACTTCTGTATGTAGTAGAATAGCTATACAGGTTTAATGTATGCTGTGGTTTTGCTGCTTTGCATTTCTGTATTGTTTTAACTTGCCTTTACACTGAATTGACTCTAGCTAGCTAAACTTACAGCAAAATAAATTCTGCTAAATTACCTACCTCTTTCTCGAAACAGTTTAGTCACATGATAACTCTGTAAGGCTAATTATTTAGGCAACACCTATAGACGTGATCCCCAGACAGCATTGTCTTTATATGTAAAACTTCATTGTCTAATTTTATCCCTTCCTGTAGCCTTTGAGAAAGCTGTTAAAATTGAAATTATTTACTTAGCATAAATCAGGTTACATGTGCTGCTTAAAGTATAGCAGTATTCTTTCTATTCCTAACTGTTGGCAAGTTTCCAACAGTTCAGTATGTTCCAAGATCATAATTACTTTATATTAATAATGAGGGAGTGAAAATACAGAGTAAAGATTGGCTTAGAGATAGAAGAGTTCAGTAGTACTTGAGTTGTATTTAATAATGCAACTTACTAGATTTAGACTGGACACAATATGTTCTGTGTCAGTCATCTATGAGTTACTTAACTGTAAAACTAAGACTCCTGCAAGCAACATGAAGAATATGCACTAATTAAAAATCCTCTTACTGCCCATAAATCTGTGGTGCTTTCTGACAATTTTGGACTGCTGACAAAGCTGCTGAAATGATTTCCTGAGAAAGAGAAAAAATTCCATTTATTATTTCCATACAAGTTTTAGATGATGATTTCTTTGTTGCTCTGCCCTTTATTTTCTTCTTCTTCCCTCTGTGCTCTGGATTGATAACTAATACTTCTGTTAAATTCACCAGGTGTGAATTATTTTATTTTTGTCAGTTCTGATGTCTGTATGCCTACGGTGAAATCTCCATTACTCTGTTAAGTCCATTCTATTAAAATAAGAATAGCAATCATATAAAACACACGCCCACTTTTGAGGGTCTCTGATACATTTATACTAATCACTGGTTTATGTCCACCTCTTTTCCCGATTTAAGTAAGATATGATGACTTTTTTTGTACTGCAAGCAGTACATGGTTAGGTCTAACAGTCTCATCAGAGTATCATCTTCCTGCAAATATGTTGGAAGCCTTCTTATTAAATGAACAAAAAGCAATCGTAGTGCTTTCTAAATTAATTGTTGCTGAAAAAAATTTCAGAAATAATTCCTGATGGTATGTACCACTACATAAAATTCAGAAGATTAAGTTATTGTTTGATATTGTTGCTGGAACCTTTTATTATATAGGCTTCAAAATTCCCAGTAGCACTTTTGACTGAAACAAGATCATTTGTCTGCCATGCTAGTACTCAGCTGATGTCAAGTGTAGCGTGATGTAGGTTGCCTCATCTTTCATACCTAGTTCACTTTATTTATACCTCCACAATTAGAGCCTCTATTTGCTTTTAGTAATCTAATTGCTGTCTAGAACATACATATTTTTAATTACCACATTGGGTTTGCATTTTATTTTTACAGGCAGATGCTGACTTTTCAATCTACTAAACAGTAGCACCTGAAAGAATATTTTAAACTACTAATTGAAAAACAAAACAAAAGTAAAAGCATGGCTTAATTGTCTGTCATCAGTAATATACTTACTGGAAAACCTCAATGATAAAAAGTATTTAAATATTTCCACAAATATCCCGTGCCACAGATTGAATAGATATGATATGTCAATTTCCTAAACGCCCATTGCATTCCTCTAAAATATATTTCTGCTTACTACTTTCTGGACAAGCCTGTGTTCTGCAGGGGTTTCTAAGGTCCTCTTGTTAGCTCTCTTAAGTTATCACCACTGGCGATGCATAAGCTTACAGAAGTTCATTTCAGTCCTGTGCTTAAAAAAAAAGTAGCCTTTTGTTCTTCTAGTCGCTTTTGTATAATCTTAAGGAGTTACCAATCCATTTTGCTTCTTGAAAGGCCCTGACTTCATGCATGTGAAACCGTATTTTCTGCTGGGTAATTTCTGATTTCTGTTTTTAAAACACAGGTAGTGTTACATTTCTGTATTTCACAGGGATCCTGGTTCCTCAAACTGAATATCTGAGACTCCACCCAAAATTTATTCTCCCCTAGAAAGCAAGTATCTAGGCCTAAATAAATAAAATCTAGTTCCCTGTGCAAGAGCAAAGGTGGCAAAATTTGTAGCACCTATACTGTAATTCTGTTAAAATTTTAAAAAGATAGTACATTCTTTTCTACAGTGAAAGATGTTTGTACATGCTTTATGTATGTTTAGGTGGCTAACGTATGAATCACGACTTTTAATAATGAGGAGATTAGATTAATATGTATGTATGTTTCTCTTTTAGGAGCTTGAACAATACAAAAGAAATGCCTCTAAATCCTGGAAGGAAATGGATTTTGACCCTGATTGATGAACTGCTATAGATGTCTTCAGTTTAACATTTACAAAATTATTTAATCATTTTAACATTATACTAAGAATTTAATCTGATGGAGTTGAAAATACACAATATCAAACTACAAAATTAATATTTATTAAGTAGTCCTGTTATTATTTTTAATAAAAATAGCTGGTTTATTTGTTCAGTCCAAATTTAAGTATATCTTGGTACTTACACAAAGTTTTAAAAAGCGGGGAAAAAGAAAATCTAGATTATTCACAGATGGTTTTGAATATGAAGGCTGGCATTAGTCAGTTCTACCTGTTTTATAACACATTATTTGATTTATTTTTGAATGCGTCTGCCCTAACATGTAATTAAATATAAAGAAGTTTTTACATCCAAAACGTGAAACTGCATAGTAAAGTATGCTAGGCATCTTTTCCTTGTTCCTTGCATATATAATTCAAAAGCAAAGCTTAAGAATAGATTTGCATCGTTGTTTGATATATTTGAATAAGATAGTTCCTCAAAAACTGGAAGAATAAAGTGGCAATAAAACCAGGTTTGACCTGGTCTAAACTTGAGAAGTTTGCTTTATCTCTGTTTCAGTATCATACGGGTTGATACAGGAACTATTTCTTGAAATATATAATGTTGTAATAACTTTGCACAGAATTCAGAAGATGACGTTTCTGTCAAATATTCAAATGCTAGCAAGTCAGTCTAATCAATTTGACAGATATTTGGTTAGTGGTAGAAGTATAGTTGATTCACATGCAGCCCAAGCTGGTGAAACGGCAGCCTAAACTAGACACAGCTTTTTGTCCATGGACATCCTCATGATTATGGCCTGAGTGTTTTGAGAATATGCAAGTCAAGTTCTAGATTAAAGCCAGAGGCGTCTCTTGAGAGCTAAGACTTATTAGAGAATAAATGTCTGAACAATCACTTGGCAGAACAGATTGCAAGAATGTTCCCTGATAAACCACCATACATTTGCATAAAAATGGGAAAGACAAACTAATGTGTTACTTTTCTAGCTCTTCAAAGTTATTTGTTATTTTTAACATATTTGTTCATAGAATTTTTTTCTGCTATAACATTTGTATCTTAGAATATAATACATAAAGATATTAGAAATAATCTTGGCCTCACACTTAAGTGGAGAGCTTGCATTAACTCAAGGATTTCAAATTCTTTGTAACAAAGTGCATCATCTCAAACCTATAAAATTAAATTATATTTTTATGGAATCTTAAGATACAAATATACTTCCTCGAAGAAATCTCTAACTATCCCTCTGTAATAAATAATTTCTTCACTGAACATGCGAAGTAAGTTAAAAAATTTAGGAATTCTGTGTCTGTTAGGCTTTCAATTTTGACAGGTACTTACATTGATTAAACAGATAACTTAGACCTTTGGGATGTCAGTGAGCACATGAGAATGATTTCCAAAGATGCAAGCTTCCAAGAACTGACAAACAACTTTTTTAAAGTAATTCACAAACTACTTCCAAAACAAGATTTAGAACTTGATAATGAAAAGAAGGAACAGATATAAATAACTTAATTGTATTTTCTGATTTACCATCATTTACAAGACAAAAACATATTAGGTCACTCTTCTGTTGCTTAAAGGTCCTGTATTATTGACTGTAAAGTAGGCATAAGATTAAAGTGGAGTGATTTCTTGATTCTGTCTTTATTTACACGTATTTTGGTTCCTTGCATTTCTACAGATCCCCAAAATGGTACCAAAACAAAGCATAGGAGTTAAAATACAAGATTTAGTAGCAATTATATCTCTCTGCTTATCAGTAATGGTTAAAAACCAAAACTTTCTGAAAAAGATTAGAGCGTCATTGCTCATTGTTAAAAATTGATAGCAACAGCTGACTAAATTAAATTCAAAAAGTCCTTTAAAACATGTAATACTGTAGATTATGGCTGATTGGAGAGTGGGATGGGAATACCAATAGCAGGAAGCTGTTCACACTCTTCAGAGAACGTTGTTTCCCAAGATGGAAAACATCCAGTTGGAAACAAACATGAGAAGATTAATGTGTTTCTGTATGTATAATCACTGAAATTCTATCTAAATCCGTCAGTTTAAGCCTTCAACCACAATCAAGTTCAGAGTGTATTATTAGACATTGTTAGCACTGCTACTTTTTTATTGCCTGCCAATAATTCTCTCTCTTATTTTGAAGCTCAGAATTGCTACAATGGCAAGTCCTGGTAGAAAAGCATAGAGTATTAAGAAATCGATTGTGAACCGGGACAATGCACCAGGAAAGTTTTTTTCAATGAACTGAATGCCATGAGTGAAAATACATGCAGCATTAATTGTAGTGGAACTGTTGGCTTCGCCTGTCAAAAGAAAAAATTAATTTCTTTAGTAGGTGAATCAGTAAAATTAAAACTCAGGCCTCAGTATCTAGCTCATACATTTAATATACCTAGCCCTAACGTTATTTTAATGATTAACTATACCCACAGCAGTATTTCCCATCATTTTGGAATAAGAACAGAGAAGCCATATGTTTCTGCAGTTAATCTATGCGGTATTTTTTGAAGGGAAGAGTAAATGGACACTAGGAGCTTTCTGTTTTGTTCATGCCAAACAAGATTTATGGCTTTTCAGACACATTATCTGGGGGGGCCTCAAGAAGCAAGTTGCCCAATGTGTTCGTATTTGTTGAGTGCTTCCAGAATTCAAGAAATGGAGACTGTCTGAAGGGTACATTAAAAGTCAGCTGTTTGTTATTACTGCCAAAGTCATGGATTCATTTTCTAACATTTGCCATCTATGCTCTTGTAATAAAGAGGGAAAGAAGAGATGAGTGGATAAAGAATATATAGCCTTGCAGAAGAGCACAGACACCTGGCTACAAAGGCCAATATCTTAGGGTAGCTCCAAAGTTGTAAGTTTTACCTGCATTAAGGGATGTTAGCTAATAACCCTGCTGACCTGATTGATTCTGTTTTGCCAGTTCTCTGGCTCACAGCCTGACAGATCTAAGCTGCTCAATATATGCCACAGTAACATATTCGAACTGAAGCCTCACTAGTATGAGAGGAGACATCTGGTCAGGTGTTACCTGTCAGTGGTCCCTGATGTTTGATCTTATATTGCACAAATCTATTGATCTTCTATTTGTGTAGCACTGCTCCAATAAGCACATAACAAGCTGCAAAGTTTACCTTCCAAAATGCCCCCAAAGGGCATAAAAGAATAGATGAAGAGAAAGATGAAAAACGGAAAGAATGAGAAATAGCTGGAAAAAGAAGCCAAATTTTTGTCTAGCTTGCTGATATGGTGTTATAGTAAGTCTTTACCAATTAATAAGGTCTTTTGAACAACTCACAAGTTATCTTTAACTTATCAAGATACTTTTATTGTATGTAGAAGGAAGAGAAGTATCGACATCTCATTAAAATTATTTACAATGGACTTAATGGCCTTTTTTTTTTTTTTTGAACACTTACCACATGTGAAGTTTAAGCCATGAAATTCGTTGACTACAAGAACCTCACTGCTGTATTTTTGAAAGGTAAGATAACTGAGAATTTTAAAAGGTGTTGGCATTTCTTCAATTGTCCTTAAAGAAACAGAGAAGTTAAATTGGCTTTTTTACATGCCAAGAGCCAATTCTACCCCAAATTAAAACAAGCTCTCATCTTTGGTCGTAACCTGTTACAGAAACAGTTCTTGGCTGTACCTGTAGGTTTTTCAAACAAAAATTGCTAAATGAGGAGACAACGATGAAGGCTGTCTCTTGACTTTGGTACAGTGTCATAACATTCAGCCCCAACTTGTTTATGGACAGTGACAATTTTATTAACTTTTTAGATATTCACATTGCAGTGATAAACTGAACATGACAAGACCCAATATAAACCTTAGGTGCAAAAATGCGTTGCTTCTGTAAGAAACTACCCCCCCACACTCCATCTTCAAAACCAAAAAAGCCTGAAATTCAATTCACTGGAAAACTAAATGCAAGAATGAAGCAAAAAATAATGAGAAGAAGAACAGAATACTGAAATTTTGAAATAACATTATTCAACAAGGCTGGGCAGTTTTCTGCACCTAAAATACTGCAAGACTTTATAATTAAGCAAATAAACAGAAAAAAAAAACAGCAACTCAAGTCTCAATGCTGTTTTTAATATCCTTCATTACTTACGAAGTTTAATCATCAAAGAGATTCACTACATTAATTAGAAATATCTCTACTGTAAAATAAGGTTAGAAACCACTCATACTTTTAAAAAGTTATTAAGGCATTAGACTATGGTAGTGCAAATAACTGTCTTGTCGCTAGAAATATACATCTTCCTGAGATTTGTCAGGGACCAAATTGATTAGATATGAACCCAATTTTATTTGATAAGCAAGTATTAGCTGAGATCTTCTTTGAAGAGACAAAGCATCATCAGCTTTGTGAAGACTCATATGCTTTTCCTGAGGACAACTTGACATAGTATTTTGTTAGGCTTAATTCATTTTCATTGGAAAGATCTCAGGTGAGCATCATATTTCCTCAACATCATAAGAAAGCTTTTTTTGAAAAGAATTTATTGTTACGTGTTTCTTTAAAAAATAGTGATTTAAGTATTGACAAACACAAGAGGACAACTGTTCAAAGTTCATGCAGTTACAACGCAAAAACATTTGTTTCCACAGCAAGTGGATCATAATTTTTCCTGCATATTTACTACACTACTTTAACTTGTTATTTTTATGTAGTTCAGTCTGCACAGGTAGAAAAAGTGTCTGAAAAGTTTAATGGCTAAACTGGAGAATAACACTAATAAGACAGTTGAGAACAACTTTTTTTAAGCCTTCATTCCCAATGTTTAATGTCTGATAAGTTACAGCAGTTACTAGAAGTTGTAGGAATTTTTTTTTTTTTTTGGTAGACTCTTTTAATGAGGACAGCATTTCACCTCATGATGTTGGCATAAGTAAAATAATCCAGCTGAGCTGACAGATATTAATTGCTCAGTTTTTTCTTCAGTGTATTTACAAAAAGTGAAAAAAGTTAATATCTTTGTTGATATTGAAACTTACTGAGTGTCTTCTTTGTGTGTTTAGTACAAGGTCTAACGCGATTAGGTAGTTCTACCCCTGAAGGATAACAGCTGCACTTTCTTTCCATTGCTACCTGTGCATTACTGTGCTGCTGCAATGCAGACTGTTCATGGCACTCTTCTATAGGCAGATTATTTTAACATTAACAAATGTTAACGAAATAATGAAATACATTTTTTCCTACCTTACTAGTCCAGTTCCCACTATCACACCTGCTGAATTAAGTAGCACCACTCCACTCTGGACTATATTTGGGTTTTGAACCACACCAAGTATTACAAGTGTTAGTAGTTCACCAATTATATGAGATGCCAAGACAACAGCAAAGAAAACTCCAAATCTGGAAGCATCAGGATGTAAGCCTGCAGTCCTGTACAAAAATGAGCAAAAGAACATTTAAAACCCAGTGTTTTGGTACTAAGCTTGGAACATAGTGCTTTTTAAAAAAAAAAAAAAGAAATTTTTTTGCAATTATAACTCATTAAGTGAACTGTTTATGTCTTAACCCTTAGTATGTTGTTTGGAGCCTTAACATAAATGACATCACTTAATATTGTGCCATAAGTGCAGATATATTAGATTTTCTCCATCTAGATTAAAGAGAGTTATGTAAAGATGTAGTTGTAGCAGAAATCTGTGTTGTTTCAAGATAACCACCATGGCTTTTACAATCCCTTAAACTAGCATCCTCCTCCTTTTAGACCTTATGCAGTGTGAGTTATTTATGTAAGTCACGTATTTAGAGAAAGTCTTTATGCAGATAACTAGCAGATGGAATTTTTGCACTTGTGGTACTGTGCATGCAAATGTAAAAATGGATAGACTCAATTAAATGCAAGGCTAATTGAATTCACCACCCACGTAATTCATCCAAATGCCATTTCCTCCATACTCTGCACTCTTTAATACAACACGCTGCTCTCAGCTTTTCCCGAGCTCACCTAAGGAAAGAAGTCCCCCCACACCACCAGCCTGTACTAAAGATTAAAAAGCTAAGAAAGGCCAGCAACTGCTTGGCAAACTCAGTTCAGCCTTATAGCTTATAAGACAGATGACAAAACTTTTTATTACATGGTGACACATTACTCTTTTTCCAAAATACCTCATACCAAAATTGCCTCATGCTAGGTACAAACTACATGGTTTGCTTAGCTAACAAGCAGCTATTCAACAATTTTTCTCTTTTTCATTGCTCAACACAAGACCCTATGTCTTTTTTTTTTTTTTTTTTTTATCTACCATGTTCCAACATGGTCTTAAAAACAGAAGTATTAATTTTCTCACAGGCTTTGCTCTAGCATTTTTTGCATGTAACACCAAAACAGTCTCTATTATAAACAGATGGCTGAACATTGACTCTTCAAGTATTAAACATTCACCAAGCTAGCAGGTATCTAACAACCTTTAATCACAGACTGGTGCAGAAGGAACAGCTCTCCAAAGTCCTAGCATGAAAGTATCCCCTTTTCTGAAGTGCTCTAATACTTCACACTGAGCTATGTAGATACAGACTGGTAAATCTGGGGTAGGAATAGAAAGAGAAGAAAAAAACAACAAAATAGCAACTCAGAAGAGAGAATGGCAGGATAATACAAACTGTTAGAACATTTCCCAGAAGCAACTTCAGCTAAGAAAATCAGCATTAACAGTGTACATTAAATTGATTGCAAACGTGGCTGTATTTGTGCTTGGCCAGACCTGCCCTGTGTCTGATCAGATAGGAGTTGGGTCTCTCTGACCCAAACTGTCTGACCCTACAAACAGAAACTCTGAGAGGAATGGCTTGTAAGAACACATACCAGAGGCTACCAAAGCCTCTCCAAAAGTTAGTCCATGCAGAAAAGTTTAGTCCTGCATAGATACAATCTTCAAAATTTCAGAGCGGAACTTCTTGCCCTAAGAGGTCTAAGGGCACGATGAAATCACTCTGACACATCACCAAATAACCACAAGATAGCAAAGATACGCTATGTAAGTATTACCCATTAACCAGAACCACACTCTTTATTGTTGGTTGCATTTGAAGCTACCAAAGAAGAAGGGCAAAGTCTCTGTCCATACAAATTTCCTGTTCGTTAAGGAGTGTGACAAAAAGTGGCTCATGATCTTCAGGAGCTCCACAAACCATCCTGCATTGAGCCTGAAAAGGTGCTTTCCAAATGGATGCCTTCTTGGCAACCAGCTCACTAGCAGGCAGAAATGGAGGGGCTCTGGTGAGCACAGGACATCCTCTAAATGCTTAGTGGAAGGAGGCATAGTTTCTGTTTGTCTGTGAAAAAGGACTTCTCAGGGAGCACTGCCTGAAGCTGGCAGCACTGACAGCTCACAGAAATAAAAGCTCAGGTAGCTAAGGGGACAAAGGGAAAGATGACCTTGCTTGAACAAAACTTTAGTGCACTACACACCACTCCTTTCATAATTAGGAAAACAAAAAACCCCAAAAAATCTTGAAGGACAGAAATTGGTCCCTATTATTTTGCTATTAGCTTATGCCAGCAGCCATGGACTGTATTAAGTTCAGAAGAAGTAGAAGGTGGGAAATCAATGGAACAGAAATGAAAAGCAGACCTATGTGATATATAAGGCAATGAAAAGATGAAATATTTCATCATCCCATTCTGAGGTATTAGTTCACATTGGTGTGAGGAAATGAATGTACTGGGAGAAAAAAAACTTGACAATCAAAACCTTTCTTCCACTATCAGAAATCCACTTAAGTGCCTTTCTCTGGAGAGTGTAAGAGAGGGATTTGGATGTCATCACTTCCATATGCTATAGCTAAACCCCAAATGTCTCGGGAAATATGAAGCTTTGTTACTGTCACATATCTACTGTTGTCTTCCTCGCTTTTTTTTCCTCTTATTTCCTGACTTTCTAAATGTAACGTAAAATGTCACAAAAATTATAAACATCCCAGGCACATTAAAACTTCCCAAGTTACCTAGAGAACTGCTAACTTACACACTTACTCAGTATGTGTTTTAACCCTCTCTGAAAGAGAAGGGTAAAGATTGTGTCATCTTCACTTAAGCTTTCTCTGTAGCCATTCTGAGAGACAATAGCAGGAGGGCTGGTGCTGACATGTGAATTGAAACTGATAACAAAAAGAAAATTACAATCCAATAGATGGTACAAGTGCTTACCAGTATATAAAGGTGCTGAAAATTGCCACGCTGATGACACTGAAGGGCAGGAAATGTACTATATAAGCTAAAAGCATTTGCCACTTCTTATACAAGCCATCCTTACTTTCTTGGTCACTGATAGCACGTAAAGGTGGGACTGGATTAAATATATAAGAAAGAAATTAAATCAGCATTGAATAAAGAGACTGACATTTGTTGCTAACAAAAAAGAAATGAAGCAGAGACAACTTTGAGAATATATAAAAAACACTCTAAGACCAGTCTGATCGCTTTTCCCCCTGCTATAAATGCAAAACACACTCCTTGCAGATTGCAAAAGCTGGTAAGCTTAATGAAAGAGGACTAACAAGGCAGCATGCAGGACAGCCTTCTCTTTCTGCAGATACAAATTAAAGACATGAAAAAATTGCCATCACTGGACAATTTCTTGAGGTGCTCTCATCCCAAGCTGATGACAGCTATGTATGTTCCCTACATGAGCAGAACAGTTTTTAGGGCTCTAAATAGAAACTACTGTTGGTCTCAATATGGCAGCTGTAAGAGAAACATCGTCTAAGAAAAATCATCACATAATACCCTTAAATCTAATTATCCTTAATCACTGTCAAAGCTGTTAAGTACTTCTATCTTTTCCATGTCTTTGGTTTTGATCTCACTTCAGATGTTAACTACAGACCTAGACTCTGTCGTGCCTTTATAATGCTACACACAGGAAAGCTCAGTGCTCTTGCACACTTCAGAAAAAAGCTTCCATACACAGGCTGGCTGCAACAGAGGAGAGGCAGGGCTCAGGGCATACACCTTCATTAAGAGCTGTGAACCTGGAGCCCCTCTGATGGGCTGATCTTTTCCTGTGGTATGAAGCTTCCTGTTGCTTTGCCTTTGATTTTCATGCTTCTGTATCAGCTCTGACATTAACTAAAACTGTTAAGATCCTTTAGATGACTACCTTCATAAGAGACTTTTTTCCTAGTTACAAAATAGCGGCAGCAATACCTGCTGCTGCACATAATACAGGACAGAAACTCACAAAGGGCAACAGCATTGAGCATCCCTGTGTAGGGGGGGGCACTCACGCACTGGTAGACAAGCCCCACACGGTCCTGCACAGCTCCTTTTACCAGGTCATTCTTTAGTCTAAGAAGGAAAAATGCTACAAACAAGCCAAATAACAGATTCTGGAGGAGACGCATGATGATGCCTATCTTATCTCTGGAGAAGTTTCTTGTTGTCCTCCTGATAATGAAACAAAACAATACATTCATTAGCTATGACTGACCACACCTTGATAGGGTTTTTAGCTTTGAACACATCTTACACACTCGGTGCCCACAAAAAGGCAATATATTAAAAAAGACAGAGACAAGTACAGTGGTAGATCAAAATAACCAAGAAAGTGTATTTACATGTGGGGAGAAAACCCCAAAAGATTAGTGGATAAGAAAAAGATTTTTCTTAAAATAGGGGGAAAAAGAAAGTCTTACCGTAAAAGAATCCATGATTTGTAAAAGGCACTGGGTGAGTCTCTGTTTTTGAATGGTATTGGTGGCAGATCTTTCATACACTTTGTTTTTTCAATGGATGCCAGTACTTTGCTAAAGATCTCCGAGTTTTTGTAGGCTGATAGAATTACCTGAACCCTACTGTAGGTTTCGAGTTCACGTTCCTTGCTTCGAGTGTCCACAGATGTCAGGTCCACTGTAAATTTACAAAGTGTTTACTGTATATACACATCACTTTCCCTTCCTTGCCACTAATTTTTCCATTTCTCTATCCTAAAATCTGCAAAGAAGAAAAGGTCCACTGAAAGTATTCAGGGTTTCTTTTAGTCCTCCCTTCCATTAGAAGCAGTATGAATTAATAACTGTGCAGCCACAATAAATCTCTGTGTTTTGTGGCTCTGTAGGATCCTGAAGTTTGAGTCATTTATCTGGAAATGCAAGGACTGAGTGGTACATTGGTCAGACCTTTAGCATTCTCCTTGCACAGCAGAGAGCTGTACCACCAGTGAAGCGCTACTGCTGCCAAGATCAAGACAGAGCACCAGCTGAGGATGAACACTGATGAGGATGAAGAGATGACGCAAAATGAAGACATGCTTTTCCAAACTTGGCCAGCGTGACTTGCTAGAAGTCACACACAAAGTAAGTGGCAAGCAGGTGTGTTTTAAGAAATGATAACACCAGCTAGTCACTAGACCAAATAGCTACTCTGTACCATGCATTTGTACTTTTTTTTAATAAACACAATATGTGACATTTCAATAATGTAACCCACACTCAACACATAGGATCTGTTTTCCTCTGCTGTTGGTGTAAATGCTATCAGAATCCATCCATTCATCCACATCATTAAATCACACAAAAAATATAAACTACCAATTTTCCGAAGACTAAATATTCTGGTGATTCTTCGCTTTAAATTGTATTTTTTCTTTTTCCTGTCACATTCAAAGGTTGACACTTGAAGAATGCAGTATTCTCTTTACCAGGCTTTTTAAAAAGTGGATCTAAATTTCAAATCATCTATGCTTTTCAAGACTATTCAAATTTCTGAAGGCAAAATTATCCTCACTGTCACACCAGTATTTTCAACTTCATCCCATTCCACCTTCATGTCAACAACCATCCTCTCTTCTCTCTGAATTTAGGGTGCCATCTAGACAATAAAAGAACACTGCCTCTTCTGAATGTGCCGTGGTTCTGAATACAGCTTTTGGATTGGTCAAATTCCCTGGTTAATGCTCAGCTAGTATCAGCAGAAATACTAGATTAAAAAAAAACCAGATAAACACACACACATATGTATGTACAAATATACACACACAAGCACATAAACATGTTCTTCAAACATGTGTCCGCATGGATCAGGTACACAGAAGCTCTGCAGTGAAACCAAGCTTCATTTCTGAAATATCATGCTGGCACTTTTTTTTCATCCTGAATTAATAAAACAGTACTCTTCAGCTTTTGCCAACAGCCTGTTATTATTATCTCCTGAAGCATCCACTAGCTCACCCATATATTAGCAACTCCACAAACTTTCTGAAACCTGAAATTGTGAATCTCTGATAACTGATGCCTCAGACATCCTGTATTTATTCTACATCCTTCCCTTCAGGCAACAACGGTCTTCAGTTGCTTAGCAGCAGAGAAGTCCATAAGAGCATGGGACTTTCCACAGTTTTGGGATCAAATTGATTTTCCAACAGTGGACAGCCATAGGGAGATGCCATCAGGAATCCACAGGTTTCATGAAGTTGAGATTCCTTTTTTATTGGTAGTTTACTCCTTTCTGCTGTGTTTCAGACCTACTGCAAAGTTTTGCTGCTTTACAGAGTCAGTTGAGGTTAGCTAGTCCCAGCCCTCTCTCTTCTCTGAGCTTAGAGTAATTACAAAAGTGGGGAAGAATTCAAACACATTTCTATCTCTGGAAAAACTTTAATTTGGGGAAGAAAACAACTTGTTTGTCTAAAGGAAACCCACATTTTTACCAAAACAACTTAGACAAACTTACCATAAAAGTCAAAAGGATTTGATTGCTCAGGACAAGAATAGCTGCAGTCACTAAAAAATGTGATCATTTCCATAGGGTTCCCACAGAAAACCATTTCTCCAAAGGTCATGAGGGCTATTTTATCAAATAACTGTGGGGATCAAATTAATATATTAGCCATACGTACCAAGAAGCAGTACATTAATTCTTCAGTACAGCTAATGTCTTGATAATAAAAATGCTTTGACAGGAAAAATAGTCCTGACACATTCAAACTTCCTCAATATATTTCTGTCAAAGGAAGTTTGTCCTTGTTATTGCACCTCTCAGTGGTTATGCAAGATGAAACATTTGTAAGCTCTTAAAACCAGTCATTCTCAAAACTGTCAGAGACAGCAGCATACAGAGGTGACCCACAAACAGAAATGGGAACTGTGGACTTCTGACTTCACTTCTAATGCACCTTCACTTACTGACTGACCTCCTTTGGTGCTTAATAGCCCCAGTCTGTAAAACCCCCAAATTGCTGGGAAGATTAACCTGAAGTGCTTAAGGACTTCAACAGCACTGCTCTTTGAGTGAACATTTGCCAGGGCAGGGTTCCCACCAGCTATGGTCAATCCATATTCCCAAGGCGCCAGGATTGCTTTCAGTCCGGAAAACCTCTGTCACTCCCCTCCGGCTTCATGACCACTTACACTCAGTTCAGTCATCGAGGGAAGGGGTGCCTTGCATTCACCCAGTGGACAGTGGATGTGTTAGAAGAGCAAAATGCAAAACAGTAATGGGGAGGGAGAAATGCTCTCCCCAGCACAAGCCCTGCAAACCAGGCCTGCCCCACCACGTGACCAAGGTGTACCAACACCACTTGACAAAAGAGATTTCTTTTTTTTTCCTTTCCATTCAAACCACGTCTTTTATCTGTCTCAAGTTGCAAGTGTTACTGAAATATGAATATGTAAAGATAAAAAAAGTGCTAGTATTTACAGTGCCTGCACACACGGGGGATTTCCATGACTTCTCCCAGTGTTTTTGATTTGGGTAGCTGCGTAACACAAAGATTAGGCACACAGTGTGCATACTGTTTTCACAGGGCAGTATGTGTCCCAAAGTGCTCTGTGACAGGCAGAAGGCCAGAGCTATAAAGTTCAAGACAAGTCTGTATTTACACAGGAGAAAAGGAAGAGAGCCTTTGAAAGCAAGTATACTGAATCTTGTACTTTTATCCTGAAAGAACCTGGGCACTAAAAAGCCTGGTAAAAAAAGCAAAGAGTAGATATCATTTACCCTGAAGAGTTCTGAGCGAGGTTGGTGAATTGTAATAATCACAATCCTGCCTTTGTGTGCAAGCTCTGAGAGAAGTGAGACAATCTGGTTTGCAGTCAGGCAGTCCAGCCCTGTCGTTGGTTCATCAAGTAGCATGACCTCTGTAAAATGACAAGGAACAGCACTAAAATTCAGGTGAAGGGGAAGTCAACGTTATAGCTTCTGCCTTTGAAGCTAATTTGGCAAATAGTCTAGGAATTACTTTACATGTGAAGTTTCACGTGTAAAGCAGAGTATGCATAGATACTGCCATGATGTGGTATTTCAGTTTTAGTTAGCTTCAGTGGTTCAGTTTCAGTGAATAGGAATAAGGACATAAAAAACTACTGCAGGATCAGAGCATAATCATTTTTTTTCTAAGTTCAGGTGAAAGCTGAAAATTACCAAAGTAGATTTGATGTATACATCAGCTTTTAAGAACAATAATGATAAATTTCAGCATGTATACAAATGTAAATTTAACTGACATAATTAGCTAGAAGTTATAATCTGAATTAAATCTAAATATACACATAGAATTTGTTATGAACAAATTTAGAGTTGTTAAAATACAGCATATGTCATTTCACAGATGAGAGGTGGGGGGGGGTTACTGCATTTTCTTCATGCTTTTATTGCACATGGGGGGGTAAAAGTTACAGTCAAATCTATTATTTTTACATAGAAGCACAGAAGAGGGCAGTTCAACCTTGATCAGGATAAGAAGGGAGGAGAGTTTTCTCTATCGGTTTGTCTACACAGAATCACTCTAGTGTTTACTATAGAGTTTACTGAACTCACTGAGCAATAACTACACCATATAAACTCTCCAGGAGTCACCAGTAGCAGTGATATACATGCTGCCTGGTATGCAGTTCCAGCACGTCTGCACCACTACAAGGACTCCAGAATCTAACAAATGCATGCTATACATTCACTCCATAAGATTTCTTAAGAAACTATCTCAAAACTGACAAAGTTTACAGTAGTGTTTCCTATGTCTAATCCTTCTAATTACTCTGCTTTGATTTTCATTCATTGGAATTTTTTTGGCTCTGGAACATACATGATGCTCAGACATACATGGCTCAATGCTCGCATATGCGTGGCTCTAATGCACTAAGAGCCTACAAATTTATGTGCCACAACCAACATTTCATATACACTAAGGGTGAGCTCAGAAAGACTTAAAAGGATAAATGCAAGTCTAAGCCTATGTTCAGTCCCTAAGATTTTAAAATTGTCTACTTTCTAAGATCAACTAATAGATTAATGGCAGACCTGAGTTACTGCTGATCCTTTTCTGCCATTACTAGACTAGCTTTTGCTGAATTACAGAACATGCTTTTGTATTTTGAAGTGTTTTATGGAGGCCCATGGTAGGAGCACAAAGTGACACTGCTTTGTTTTACCTTGAAAATCGATACAGTGGTACTTACTGGGATCTTGTAATAGCTGGGCTGCAATTGAAACACGACGCCTCTCACCCCAAGAAATTCCTGCAAAAGTACGGCTTCCAATTATTTTGTAGGCAATGTGGCTGAGACTCAGCTCAGCCATAACTGCATCTACCTGAAAAATAATTACAATTTAGAAAGACTAAACACAGTCCAACTCAGATACCTCTGTGCAAAATTAAAAAACGGGAAGAAAAAAAGACACAATTTTAAGCTATGGCTTTCCCAATATGCTACTTGCATCCATTCTACTTGGAAGGTACCTGCCCTCATTTCTATTTCATTATTTTTAATATATTATTTAAATTAC